ATTAAGAAATTTTCTTACACCAGCTAAATTTGTTCTTAATATATTCACCCTCAATCAGTATTCATATATTTCATAAACGTACTCAAAGTGAATTTTTGAGTAAGCTAAGTTTAGAAAATGATTGAAGTTTAAATGCATTTTGGAATAGATGATCTTATAAATATACATGATTATGTAACATTATCCCAAATGATAAAAAAACATAATATTAAATTAATCCAATTAGAAGTAGTCATCCTGCTAAATTCACGCTAAATAATCACTAATTTTGATTTATTTTCATTGAAATAATTTATATTAAATGTAGTAGTCATAGATTCATTTAATATAATATAAATTATTTCAATGAAAATAAATCAAAATTAGTGATTATTTTCATGTGTTTATCTATGAATAATTTATATCAAATACTAAAAAAAGTTATGGAGAATTTCATAAAAATTTAATAAATGTATCTTTATAGCATATCAACTTTCTTGGAAATTATATAATTTTTAATTAAAAATGTTGAATAGATAGCAAATGTGATCATTGGTGAGAATTTTATTGCTCATATTAAAATTATTTTGGAAGAAGACAATACAAAACAAGTTAAAGGTAAGGGAGTTATTCTTTTCTTAAAAAATGTAAATATGCTATACACACAACTTGTCTTGCCAAAATAAGAGCAAGTTGTAGCAATAGTCTGAAAGATAAGGGAGTTATTTCTTTTCGTTAAAAATGTAAATATGCTATACATGCAACTTGTATTGCCAAAGTAAGAGGAAGCTGTATAATATATTGAGGAAAAAATGGATTTAATTTATCTTAGGTTTTTTTTTAGTAGAAGTTAAAGTCATGTGTTATTTTAGATCAACTGCACACATTACTTTTCTGGTTTTCATAAACATGAGTTGATCCTAATCTATTATGGATGACGAACCTAAGCACTACCGGCCTCCTTACTTTTAAATATGAAGCAACTGACGATCTCATTATTGAGGAATTGCCATTATATGAGTTTGAACTAATGTAGTAGTCATTTTGATTTTATCAAAACTATGATATAAATCATTAAATGGATTCAAAGGCTTGACAACACAACTTTAAAATCGAAGAAGTAGAGTCAATCTACTATGGATAAGGGCAATGGTGGAAAGAGGTGGAGTGATTGCGACACATATGAGGAGTCAAATGGAGCAAATATCAGAGCTCTAGGTTGTTCATTGTTCGTAGAGGCTAGTCATATTTCACCATTGTAGGAACAGTGGTCGTCAAGGATTCATGAGGAGGGATTGAGGATGGTTCATGAATTGAGAAATTAGAGATTTGAAGAAGCAATGTATAATATCTCAAAAAGATAGTAAGAACAATTAAAAACCTTTGGCTATATCTAAGGCAAAACATTTTCTTCTCTTTTATTGTTTTCCCTTGCTAACATTAAGATATACGGACTAGCTTTTTTTTTTTTGTAGAGCTTTTCAATACTTCCTTTAAAGCCAAATCCCAAATGAGTTTCATTAAGTTCAAAATAAGTATTTAGTGATAAATAGTAAAAAAGAAAGCAAAAGACCTTCGAATGCACTTATTTTATATACCAGTAATTTTTGAAAGAACAACAGTGAAGAATTAGAGTTCTTTATGCTTGTGGCCTATCCATCTTCTACCTATTCAATATTGCACACATATTTATGCTAAAAAGCTTACCTTTTAAATCATAATTATCCATTCATTCAAGTTAAGATTTTAGCATATTTCAAAATGCACATAATTAGAGACATGTGGAAGATAGGGCTTACATCTTTACTGTGTGAGATCAAGAATGTCAAAAATTGCTCTTAATTTGCTAGAGGAGATATAAAACAGAGGAATGATATTGTCTTACAACTCAATCATGTAAGATCAAACAAGCTTTTCTACTTAACATTAATTGTAGGTGCATATAATACACAAAAAGACACTTAGTTTAAAAATAGCATCAAAACAATACTAAAAGAGAACAAGCACTTAATATTAAAAAATGAATCTACTAATTATTATAAAATATGGCATTTATGCTGTAAATTAAATTAATATTTCATTAAATAATAATGTTAAATTTAACAAATTATAGAAAAAATTAATTCATAACTACAAGTTTTTAATTTTATAAATACTTTTTAAATATATTAATTGTTTTATTAAAGCAAATATATGAAAAATATTAAGTTTAACCTAAATATTTTTCCCTTTGTGGCTTATTCAATTATAAAACAACTCGGCGTTGAAGAAATTTCATTTAAATTTATAATGCACGAAGTATGCATTATGTATTATTTCGCATTTGGGGGGGAGGAGGGGGGAGCGACCCGTGGCCAAGCTTCGCGGCAGATGAGTTAAATTGGTTTTACGTTGATGCCCCCTATCCCAAATCTTCTCAACTCCCGAGTGTCCGAGCATCGTCCTCTTCCCGAGTGAAGATTTCTCATCTCCTCCTCTTCGTCAACTCTACTCCTCCTCTTCCCGAGATCTGCTTCCCTGTGATCTCTTATCTGACGGGTTTCCAGGCATTGTCTACCCTAAACGCAGCCCTGCTTCCTCCATATATATATATATATATATATATACATATATAGCAATGCTTCGGATCTTCTTACTAGACAACAATCTCATAAGAAAGGGCTGCCATTGTAAACAGAGGAATCTCCTTAGTTTTATCTTAAGGGTCATTTACGTACATACAACAGAATGCAACTCTTATTGAATTTATGTTTTGCGGCTACCATCAAAAGTTTTCCATAATATTATTTTTTCTAAAATACCACAATATGAATTACTGTGATGAACACAAATTTTTGTACCGACCATATTTATGTAAGGAGAGAAACATAAAGATCTATATTATGTAATTTGTGTATTAGAGAGACAAAGGCGATGTATGAGTGATTGTGCAAAAAAGATTTTGCGAGGGGGAGGGGGATAACAATTGAGGGGCGCGTTTAGCCCAATTTAATTGATGAAAAAATGTGATAGAACTATACCGATAAAATATTATTTTTTAAAGGTTATTGTAAAAGTCATAAATCTTACCTTTCGAAAAAATCAAAATTGAAAATTTCTCTTTGCTAATAATATTTTTTAATTAACATAAAATTATAGCTGGATAGAATTGTAGCCCTCTAGAACTATATATGTTCAAGAAAATTTACATTTTCTTAAAAAAATTATAATATTTAAAATATCTTTTTTAAAATATGTTTTTTATAATAATATATACTCAAAAATTGCTTGCACGGATCTAATGACAATATGACAATCCAAGATAAAAGGACTAAGATGCCCTTTGCTACTCTTTTAAAGCAATATTATATATGTAATTTTTATATATTTTTTATCTTTCCTATCTTTTATAAATTGAAGGGCTTCATGGTGTGTAGGAGACTTTTTGGCTCCCCTCACTTGTAATGAACGGTTTTATGGAATGGAATGGGTTTCATGAGCCCGGGAACACACTATTTTCCTTCTCGGGGGAAGTCTTCCTCTCCTTCCCTATTCTATCCCTTTCTCTTCATCCCTCAACCTCCTTCCTTTGGTTCAACGCTTTATTCGTTTGGCTTGGTCTACGAGACAGATTTGGATTCAACTTTCTTTAAGGTGTGATGAGTGTGGATCGTGTCGTCAACAAGAATATGAGCAACACCTAAAGGAAAATCTTCAAGCAGGCACCCCTAACAAAAAAAAATGCAATGAGAACTCGTCGAAAATCTTCAAGCAGGCACCCCTAACAAAAAAAAAATGCAATGAGAACTGGCAATACCCAAGAAATGTCACCCCTTTCTCACAAATCCATGCATGCTCTTTGTTCATGGATCTAGAGATTTCCAATGCTCTTCCCATGCACTAATCTCTACTAGGCCAACAACTCCACCAATTCGTCGGACTCACCAATGGGCAAACTCTTCGACTAGCCCGTCTTTACCTGCTGACAACCTCTTCCGGGCAGCCTATCCCTACCATTCAACCACCTCTTCCAACCACATTTGTCACGAGCATGAGTGAACCCCCTTTTTCCTAAATTTACACTCGTGTCTTCTCGTATTTCTTCTGCCAGAGACACTCGCCTATTCAACCTCCCACGGGATGAATGAAACTTTCTTCTTCTTTCTCCTTCACCTCATCTGAAGCTCTTGCATACGCTTCCCTTCTCTACCCCGAAACCATTCACCTAAACTCTTTTCCACCACTTGCGAAACCAAGGGCTTTAGCTCACTCCACTAATTATGTACTTGACATGCTATGTAGATTGCTGATTTGGTTTAACGAAATCCTTGTTGCATGAAAGTTAATAGGTTTGTTTGCTATAGAGATTCCTCCCTTTTACATGAAAGGTAGGCTGTTAATTGGTGTTTTATAGAAGAAGGTAAGTGTTGATTGTATTTTTATGAGGTATTCCTTTCCCTCCTCCTAGAGCCTAGGATCTAGCATTAGAATTTCCTATTTGACCCTCGTAGAGGATTAGTATCGGGACTCACACATACACCACAATGCACATCACATACACATTCATATAAACCCCATAATAAAATTTAAAATAAATTAAAAAAAAATCAAACACAAAACAAAAAATCAAAGGAAAACCAAAATTGATGTATTTTTTTACACGAACTTGCAGCTCTGTCGGTGCATGTTGAGAAGCACGCTATCAGGATAGTCTTGTTAGACTCTAGTCGTCGCTTAGGCAAAGACCGATCAAATCTTGTTTATTGGACGACTTAAATTGGGCTGACAAATATTATTCGTCATGTTACACACGAATTAATACTTGAATTTAACCTGATCGTCAACGAAGCTGTCCATACCAATCAAGATGAGGAAACAAACAGTGCGGGCAAGTCTAGAGCATCAATTTTAGGCAAGAAGAAAACTTCTTTTGCTATGATTTTGCGTGCGAGAGTGCGAGCAAGCAATGCATAAATGGATGCATTTAAATTATAAAATAAAATTAAAAAAATATATAAAAACTTACAATGTTTTATTTTTCCTGCGGGCTCATGCCATTCTTCCCGACGTCTACCGATCGCATGCCCTAGGGCAACCCCGTCGACTTTCCTCCTCGCACACGAGCTCCCTCTCCGGTCGGCGAGCCTCGCCGCCAGCGCCCCCTCCTCCTCACACGTGTGAGCCTGGTTTCCCCCCTTCCTTCGCGATCGAAGCCGCGACCCCCTATTCGCGTGCCCTAGCTTCTCCTAGCGAAAGCCGCCGGCGTATTCTTCCGCCCAAAGATCCTCGCCGGCGAACACTCTACTGCCTTCTCTCCTCCGAGCCGAGGCCATCCCCGGGGTTCTCTTTTAGCAGAGAGGCCGAACCTCTCGGCGTGCCCTAGTTTTCGTCGCGCCATCCTTAGCCCGAAGCTCTCGCCGGCCGGCGCTCATCGTCGACGCTTTGCTCCAGCCGGTCTCAGTTCTCCCTCACCAGCGTCCTTCCTCGACCGAGCTCTCTCTCGGCGAAGCTTCCGACAACAAAGCTACCGCTGAAGCCTACTCCACCTCGCCGGCGCAGCCTCTTGGTCGGAGTCCCTCCCTTCTGGTTCGCATTCCATTTAGGGCAGAGAAACTTCGTTTGATGGGCACCAACCGTATCTCAACTTGAAGAGGCCGATGCGTCTTTTATCCTTGTGAGGAGAGCTTCTTCCCAGACTTTGCTGGACGATGAGCAACCAACGCGACGGTATAACCTCCTCAGACTCTTCTTCTTTTACTTCATAGCCAGCCCTAGAGTTAGTTGAGTATAGACATGTGGGTTTGGTAACCCGCGTGGGGTGGATGTGTCGGTCTCCGTTAATCGGCGCAATTGCGCAATCACTTTGTAGAGCCTAGTGTTTCCTACTTTGGATGCTCCAATTTTTCCTTGGCGAAATTAGAAAGTTGAATTTTGCAGATGAGAAAGGTTGTGGCTAGCTCACTCTGTAAAGCCTCAAGATGTCATGAAATTGGGAAAAGCTTTGTGGCTAGCCCATTCCACGACGACGTGGAGAGTTTCCTCTCGAAATCCCCCGGAAGAAACTCCCCACATGCCTCGCCAAAAACAGGAGGCAGGTATGCCGCAAATCCAAGAGCATAAACCCCAGATTTCTATGTGAGGGCGTTAGCACAGGCACGATTCGCTATCAAACGTGTTTGATTTGCCTTGAATTGTATTGCATTTTGCTTGGAGCATGTTTGCATTAGCACTTTGCCTTGACCTGCCACCCCGGCCCGGTCAACATCACTTTCACATCGACTGACAGCTTTGGCTCGATCGACATCACTTTTGCCTCGACCGACCTCCCCGGCCCGATTAGTAGCACTTTAACCTCGACCGGCCACCCCAATCCGGTCGGCATCACTTATGCTTCGACCGGCCGCCCCATCTGGTCGGCAGTACTTATGCCTCGATCGGCCACCCCGGCCAGGTCGACAACACTTTCTCTTCAAATAGTGTATATTGTGCATGTGCAGGAGTCTGAATCCTTGCTTGCATGGTGCACTATACCCTGTATGTGCTTTTCATTTGCAAATGTGTGTGGTCATTATCGGGATGAGGTGTAATTCTCCCTAATGGCTTCCTATGCCTTAGGTGACTGAGCACAACTCCTCTATGGTTATGTGTTGCATGACATTTTGCATTGTTTTCATGGTGCTTGGGTTGCATTTTGAGGGTCCATTTACACACTCATCCCACTTGTATGATTCTCCTTAGTGAGGATCATCATCTTTAGAGCCGCTGACTCCTCGGTATGCCCAGTTTTTTGGCCTTTGCCTCCACGACATACCCACCCTTCAGGGTTACTGTCTCCACGACATACCCAACACTTCTTTCATGTGACTGTCTGCACTTGCATTTGCATGCATGCATTGATAGCGAGTCAGGTTAGGTAGGTGAGTGACCCCATATTGGTCACGATGTCTTAACAAATATTTCTACCCGGGTTAATGTTATATTGAGGTAAGTATGCGAATTGAGGGATATGCATGTAAATTTTTCACACCACATGATTCTTATATATTTATATATTTGACATTTCAGGTGTTATAAAAGTGAGGGAAGGGTTTTCTTATGAACAGTCCATGGAAAGGCGTCATAGGAAAAGGAAGGATAATAGGGGCAGTGATGATGAGGAAGTTGAACAGTCCATGGAGAGGCGTCATAGGAAGAGGAAGGATAATAGGGGCAGTGATGATGAGGAAATTGAGAATAACAGTGGCAAGCGTGTTAGGGTTTCTGATGCAAAGTATAGGAAATCAATGAGGCGTATTGAGGATAGGGATATGGATGATGCGGGCGTGTTGTCAGAAGATAGCAAAGATGGTAGGAAGGGAAAGACTTCTAAGGGTAGAAGGAATGAAGGAATAATGGTTACGGATGATGATATGAAGCACAGACTGAAGAAGAAGGAACAAGAAATGAATGGGAGTAGCAAACGTGGAAGAAGGTTACGTGATGATGCTGATAAGGTGGAGAAGATATATGCTGAAGAAGGAAAAGAAACTGTTAGAAAGGATCAGAGATTTAACGATGATGTTAAGAAGGAGAAGCTGGAAAGGTCTGTGGTGACAAAATCACCTGTTTCATCTGATAATGCCGAGGTTGAATCGAAAACCGAACGGTTGGCTGATGCTAATGGTGGCCGACACAATGTGTTTCAGCGGTTCATTAGCAAAAGTGAGTTTTTAATATCGTTATCTACCGTTTCTGTAAGATTGTTTCTTATTTATTCTTGCAATACACTCATTTTTTTATAAGTTGTTTTCTAGACGAGTCGCATCCATACATTTTGATAGTGCTTTGTATTTATATTTCTAATGAGCTAAGGTGGCTGCTTTGGGAATAACATTTTAGTGGTCATGTTAATTACAATGGTTCTTTTGTTTCATTAGCTGTTAACTCTGAGTGTGTTTGTGCCTACCACAGGGAACATGGCATATAAAACTCTTTATCCACTTGTTACCAGAAATAATAATAATAATAATAATAAATGATGAACCAATTATTATTACTTGGACAAAGATGGTTATTTTTTTGAATAGTAAGTCTGTAGTATGTACATAACTTGTCTCAAGTGTTCTGATTAAATCCTAAGCTGTAAAAGGTGCTATGTGAATAGAAGAATGAGTACTGCACATGAGTTTCTTAGTGTGTGAATGTAGTGACAGAAGTGTTATCAAGTATTGTAGTATTTAGCAGTTATGATGTTTTTTTTTAAAGAAGTGATATACAAAATACACTTAGGAAATTGTTAGTGACAAGTAGATTGAACTCATGATCCCTCTCCCACTGCTGCAGTATTCTTTTGAATGGTTAAGTTAATTCAAATGGCCATGCATTCAATATTAGTTGTGACAATACTGAAAGTTGGCTGCATATATTATCTAGAAAGCATCAATAAAACAATGTTCTTTATGATGAGTGTGAAAAGCCAATGCATGGCTTGTAGGATAATTGTAATTCATCTTACTTGAAGTGCATTTAGATGGAGTAAGAGAGGATGATGCCCAGGAATGCTCTAGGATAGCAAAGGGGGTGAGTGCACGGGGCTTAATTGAAGAGGAAGTATGTTATTTGGTGGTAGAGGATGCAATGAAAGTTTTGTGAGATAAGAGCTATATTGAGCAATTTTGAACTAATGGGAGCATATACCATTTACTGATTTTTATGAAGGTGTTTCAAATGCTTACTTTCAAGACTTGAGGTTTAAAATTAACATTTTTCTTTTAGAAATGGATGACATTATTTGAATTGTCAATCATTATTAGTATAATATTCATGAAAGACTAAGTTAAAAGAAGAAATTAATTCAAATCTTTTACTCTTGTTTATTGTGTTTCATAGAGTTAGACTGTGTGGAACATGAGTTATGGATTTTTTCCAGGCAAGCTAGTGTTATGAACTCCATGATCTTACTTGATTCTACTCTCAATTTTTTATCCACCCACTGTAATTTTCTCATCAGTTATTGATAAGTTCATTTTTTTTCTTTTATATCTGATGCACCTTATATTTACTTTCGTTTTTAACTAATTTCAATATTTGTTAAATAAAGATGTCTTCATTGAAGAATAGATGCATTTAGAATGCTTTTGCTAAATAACATGAATGTATATCCCTTGTAAGTATAAATAAAGTAGAAATGAAGAAATTGGGTTCATCAATTAGTAATGACAATCACGATAGAGCTGAGAGGATAGGAACCTAGATAATGAGATGAACTTGGCTAATTAAGTTGGCTTGTTTGATGAGATATTTTTGGGATACCTTTTGCCGTGCGATCTAGTTCCTTTGTTGCCAAATTTTATGGATATTATTGTTTGATAGTTGCTTTCAAGGTGCATTTTGGTGATTTTGAAGATTTTTTGTTGTATTATTTGATTTTATGCATTATTATAGAGGTTGGTATAATTTTTTGTTGATATTAGTGATTTTTATTTTAAGTGAGATAATAGCTTTCCAGTTGTTTGGGTTTATTTAATTTGGATAATTATTCATTGGTTTAAATATGTTACACATAATCGAGATACACTTAGGATTAATTTAAGGTTACTTTTGGACTGTATGTGTGGCAGAAAAAAGTAAAATTGTAGTGTTTGTTTGGCTGAAAAATTAGACAATTTTGTTATATTTTTTTAGAACATGATTTAGAAAAGTTATATTTGACAAAGCTAAATAGAAATTGTGGATAAAATTTATCTTTTTAAAAGCTACTTTTATTAAGGGTCTTTATGGATCAACATACTGTATAGCTTTGTTTGGCCACTACTTTCTTCTTGTTTTGCAGAAATTTTTGTGGTGCAAAGCTGTTTATGAGAACCACAGCTATTACTGTGTAGTAGCTGTAAAAAAGTTGTCCTTTTTTTCTAAAATAAAAATATTTAAATGCCTTCAGCAGTTTTCACAAAATTTGCTCGCTACGCAATAGCTGTTCAACCATTTTTACAAAAGCTTCAGCTGTCTCAAACGGATTCTAAATTAGTTATTTTCATGTGCTTGCATGGGGATTATCTTTGTAGTGTCTAAAATGTTTCTTGGTTGATTAGTATTTGTATATTATTGTTTGATAATTAGTGCAAATTCACACTTTGATACTTTTATAGAGGGTCTTTGAAGAATTTTGATGATATTGTTTAGTTTCATATGTATAGACATAGATACAAGTTTAAATTGATAGTTTTGATTTTTCTTTTAAATGGGTTATTAGCCTTCCAAATGTCTTGGATGTAGTATTTGATATGAATAATTTACATAATTAAAATGGGTTATTTTTGTGGTTTAATTACTATATCTATATTCCATTTGAGATTAAATCTGTATTTCATTGCAACAAGACAAGGCCCTATGTTAGTGTTTTGAAGGGCGCCAGCCCTTGTTATTTGCGCGGTAGATGACCTATTTGTTTTTCATATTGGTGGCACGACTAGCATTGTGATGTCATGGAATATATGAGGAATGGCTTGTGGCTAACATATGGATGTCTTATGGGTAACACGTGACAATGTTGGACCACCTGCATCCTGGGATTAGGATTGTAACTCAGCTGAGTTTGAAAACCCAACAAAAATCCAAGCTAGCTGAACGTATCTCATCTGCTTGTGATCATGAGTTGAAATGTTAAATTATACTTATAATTTTTGAAATATAGGTCTTTATGTAAAAAATTATAATATTAACTATTATCGACATTATAAAAAGTTTTAATGCTCATTAAGTACTGGGTCTTAACTTTCTAATAATCTTATTTGGTCAAAGAGCCTTCTACATGATTTTGTTTTTGGTAGAAAGAAGTAAATATGAAATAGAATGTCAACTTTGCCATATGTCCCAACCTGCTTTTAAACTATTTGCTGTAAATCAAATTGATATCATAGCTTTGGGTATGTTAACGCAACACTTAGAAGTGGGACTAGCTATTAGGATAAGCTAGCAGATTGTGAATGCATGAGATTTCAACAACCTTTGCAAAATCATTGGTTGAATTATTGAGTTAACAAATTCAATTGTGTGATGTCATTAATTTAGTTAAAGCATGAATCAACATATTGGAAGCTAAACAAATTCTTGTTCATAATCTTGAAGTTGATTCCAACCATAATGCTGAGCCAATTCAATTGTATGTTAATAGTGTTAGCAGAAAGAAGGAGTGTTTACTTACAATTCTTATGAAAATCACAAACTTTTAAAAAAAAAAAAAAAAGGTTATAAGTGGAATAATAAGAAGGGTAAAATTACAATATCTACTTTTGATGATAATATTGATCCTGAAAATTTTACTAATCAAGTACTGCATTTGGATAACTTTTTGGAATGGAAAATCATAACTTAACAATTACAAACAATATTTTCCAAAAGTGAAATTAATTATGCATAATAAACTTTATTGAACAAACACACAAGGGGAAAGAAGTAAAAATGAAAGAAATTAAAAAAAATTGTTTTTCTTATCAGCATTTTTTACTTTATAATTTAATTTATTCAACAAGAGTCGATATTTGCAATTGAACACGCGAACATAATCGAAGTGTCACTATTGTATTCTGAAACAATTGAAGATTTTAGAAGCACGGTCTCTAGTTTTAGGTATGGTTTGAGATTTGACATAAAAAGAGATGATATCTCGCTTAATTCTATACTTTGAGCATACTTTTTAGTTTGCATTAGATTTTGAGTAAATTTTGGAATTCTAGGTTTTAGTAGTTACTATATATTTTTAGGAAGGGCTTCATTTTGCTAAAGCATCTAAGTCCAATCTCTTGGATCTTACGCGATAAGTATTAAGGATACTAAAAGGATTAATTGCCTGCGCATTTGGGCTTTAGATTTTTGCCAAGCCCTTTTTAGATGACATCAAATTGGTCATTACATTAATGAGTATTAAAGTAGGATTTTGCATATAAATGTGCAGGAGGATCAAGGATGATACTAAAATCTGGGATTCCGATGATGCTATTGAATTTGATGAGTAATTTACTGAGAATGTTCAAGTTGATATTTCTTAAATATCATATGTTGCATCGAGTTACTTCTAATGTTGAATATGATTTATGGAGAATTGTTACATTTTTTTTAACATTAGGAAGATTTTTGGATACTCATAATAGAATGTTGTATCAATTCTGTGTCTATCTATAGATTGCATGAATTTGAAATCTGAATTATCATAAAGTATCACAAATAATTAAAAAAAATATTTTTATCTCAAAAGTGTTCAAGTATGATTCAATTAATTATCTATACTAGTAGAATCCGTTGTGCTAATGGATGTTGCTCTTGTTTTTCTGGGTAGATTTTTGCCTTATATTTTAGATGCTACATATTTTTGGGAGTTCAACCGTGTAGGGTTTTATGATTAACGAGGAAATAGAAGCTTGAAACCTACGGTGCCTAAGGGTAACCTTGATCTACAAATTAATATTTTCTTCCAAATGATGTGAAAATAACCATGAATTTCAAAATGAGAGTAAGCATGAGAGCATCATATATGGCTTGGTGCTTGTTGAGTCACATAATGATTGTTTGAGGTTGTGGTTCTGTTTGATGATCAAATATTGATTGATTTTAAAGCTATTTATTTGATGAATTTCTTATTGATTTAGATCTAGATTATTATTGCCTAATTTAACTTATTAAAGGATGAATCAAACTAAACATATTGAATTTAAGAGATAAATTACATTATTTCAGAAGAGATTTATTAGGGAAAGCATGAAGCCTTGTCTTTATATTTTGCTTAAACCTTAAAAAGATATAGTTGGTGTGTGTATGTATGTTATATAACGACCATGCAAATTAACATTAAAAATAGATTTTCTATACTTTGTTTGGATAATATGGTATATATGACACATCGTGCTGGGATCTATTCTAAAGATGATTTGATTAATAATTATCATCAAGTTAGAAGGAGGGAATGTGATGAAAGAAAACTCTTTAAACACTTAAAATAGATTATTATGGTTGGTATTCCCTTTGGATTAACCAATTCATATAACATTTTTTTTATAATATTGAATTATATATTGTGATATTTTATTGACAAATTTTTTTATTTACTTTTGTGATGTATTAATTTTTAGCAAGATGTGATACAATTATTTGGCACATTTGAGAAGGTATTTGTGGTTTTTTTTAGTAGGAATGTATTTATCTGGGTCGAAAGAATGTTCCTTTGTCAGTGCATTTGTGATATTTTTAGGATTTATTGTGTATAGGGACAAATTATCTATTGGTTCTCACATTGTCAAAGAAATTGTTGATTGAGTAAAGCCCATTAATACACATGATATTAAGGTTTTTATAGTCTGACTCTTTTTTTATAAATAATTTATTAAAGAGTTCACTACCATCATTGATCCATTAACAAAGTGCATGAAGAAAGGCAAATTCATATCCACTAAAGCTGCTGAACATTCTTTTACTGAGATTTAAATAAAGACTTAAAAATGCAGCTATGCTTAAGTCTACTTGATTTTAATGCTTGAGGTTTCTTGTGATGCACCTCTAGTGTTGATATTGGAGTCGTGTTAAAGTTAGGAGGGCGTCTTGTTGCATTCTTTCATGACAAATGGAATCATGTTATACATCAATTTTTAAAGTATGAAAGGCATTTTTGTACTCTTTTATTTGAAGAATTTGTATCATACCCGGATCATGTTTTGAAATATTTGGGTTTTCAAAAGAAGTTGGATAATGACATACCAATTCAGTTGAGTTTTTATTGGAATATTATTTTGTCCTTGAACAGTATGCTGGAACTAAAATGAACTTGTTGACGCATTAAGTTTCTAATCATTCGATACAGTGGATGTTAAAACTGGGTTAAAACTATATGATTACTTTGATCATATATAAATTGCTAATTTTAAGGATATTCGCGAAATTTACCAAGGCTTCAATAATAATCTAGTTTTTCTTTAAAATGATTTCATGCTTTAAGTTGATTATTTGTTTAAGTGATTTCTTCTTTGCATTTCTTTTTAATCATTGAGAGACTCGATTCTAAACCTACATGCTGGAACTGGTTTTCTGGTATGTATAAGATTATTTTCATGACTGAGGATATATATTTGAGGCCAAATCTAAAAGGGGACATTGCACATAAGTGTAGAACTTGTTATTCTACTTAATGTGGGAAACATATCATAAGGCCTGTACGTGCATGCATTATCATTATTTTTATTGAGCCCTGAAAAGTAGTTAGTTTTATGTTAGGTTTACCACAATCATTGAGAAAGAATGACTTTCTTTTTTAATATGGTAGATCATCTTTGAATATAACATTAAAATATTTATGTTTCTTATCTTACTAAACTACGAGTTAATGAGATGTGTAAGATATATGGGTTTCCTAAAAGGAAAAATTTAGTTTTGATAGGGAGATACGATTCAATAGTTATTTATGGAAAAACTCATTGGAGGAAAATAGTGAACAGCTTAAATTTTTAACTGTTCATTGCCCACAATGCAGTAGATAAATTGTAGTAAATAGAGGTTTGGGAGATGTATTACATTATTTAATTAAAGAACAAGCATTTGAACTGGATTTAATATTTACTTAAAATTGAGTTACCATGCAATTTTGTTACTAGTAAGTCTACCAGCATGAGTCCCTTTGAGATTATCACAAGGTTTCAACATAGAAAATCTAATGGGTATCATTGAACTTTCTATAGTGTACGGGCCTAGTACATTTGCACAATGTATGCATGTTTTGCATGAAACTATACAAAATCTTTTAGCTAGCATTTACGTGCTTTATATTATGAACAAACGGTACATGGGGTTTAAAGAAGATAATAAAATCATGGCTAGGAACTTTCAAGAATTTAAATGCAAGAATGGCAGGACCATTTAAAATTTTCAACGAATTGGAACAACTACATATAACTTGAAAAATTTAGGAAATTCTTGCATTAATCTTCTTTTAAAGTGTTTGATTTAGTTTTATTTCATGACCATATTATCAATTCTTTTGGGTTTTCTCTCTTTCAACTCTCCTTTTATAAATTAAACTTCAACTCTTTGCCAGATACATATAGTGCTTCTTCTCGAGGCTATTCTAGATTATGGGATTATGTCAATTGGTGCTAGTGAATTCTAGAGATATTTTGTTCATTGGCAAGATGTACTTGTGATGAATAATGTCTTTGTAGGAATCTTAAAATTTATGCCCTGATTTTCTTGGTGACTATAAAATGCTAAAATTTGAGCCGAATTTATCCAAGCTGTGTAGATTTGATAAAAAATTTCATGCTTCTAGTTAGGAACATCACAAAATGTTTTGAGCTAATTTATTTATTTTATTGGTTGATTTATTTTTTGTAGTCTTGGTATTTTGTGGCTTGTTTATGATGATGGCCTGAAAAAATATATATTTGTTATTTCTTAATGATAGATTGGTATATGTGATTTGCTGTGAGATCATTTTGGTTTGGTTCTTCGATATCATTGGGCTAATTCAAGTGCTTCCTATGGTTCTTATTTGTTTGTCATTATGGGGACAATATCAAAAGCTCGATTCGTTAGAATTGAATATTTCAAGTTGGGTAGAATGCTGTGGGGGACTTGAGCTTGGTACCGTTACCTGTTTCTATTTATGGGGTTGGTTTAGTTATCTGCAAATTTTTGAATACTGCATACTATGGTTTTGTTGTTCTGCTTCATCAATATTGCTAACTCCACTTTTGTTTGTTGTGACATTTTTACTTCTTGAGGGCATTTAATGGAGAAAGTAATGGTTATTTTTGAATGGTATAGCTGATTGCTACTTTTTGAGTTATATTTCATTGGTTGTATATTACTTGTATAGTTTTATTCACGGGATTTTAGTGGCTTTTTTAATTCCTGATTAGATTTAAAATATGAGCTTTTGTTATTTGAAGTTGGACTGGTTTGACTTTTTCCCACCATATCTATTAACTTTATCTTGATTTGTCTATAAATATAATTGCTTTGATGCATTATCCAATTTAAGTTATTAAATTTCTTATTCTAATTTTCAATCTTGTGTGCGTGCCTATTGAATTTGAAATCCTTAACGCAAGTTACATGTTTGATTATATAATTCTGGTGTGAGGCCTAGATTTGATTATATTTAAGATTTGAACTCTTTTATTTTGAATTAGTTTGGGCTGTTTCTTGGTCAACCATATCTACTAACTTTGGCAATTAGGATGATGAGTCTATATATTAAATGTTTTTATGCCTGTAAATTAGACTTTGTTTCTTTAAAATTTTATATTTTAATTTGAAATCTTTAGCTGTACTCGGATTCGTGGTTCCTTCTAATGCACTACAGGTTTGACTATCGAATTCCTGGAAAATTCATCTCTTTATATTGGTTTGAGGCTTATATTTCTTTGTTAAGTACTATCCTTGACTGAATTTTTCCTAGATAATTTATTATTGATTGTTAGTATTCTTTATTTTATGTAAATTTGACACAACTTGGAATCTCTTTGTGGCGAGTAAATTACAGTTGCTCTTTGGTTATATATGGTTCAGATATCTTTTTCACAAGTATCAGTTTTAATTCTCGTATTTATTTTTTGAATTTAAAGCTTACTCTCTTTGATGTTTGTTACAAGTACTTCTCATAACATTTTCTCAGGCGTAGTTTACAAAACAAACTTCTTTATCAAGAACTTTTGTAGTAATAATTGATTTCTTTGAAAGAAAATCTAGCAGTACGAGAATTCATCTACTAGAGGAAGAAATGCTACATCAAGTAGTTCTAGACGATAGTAAGACGGAATATATTCTAACGTCTGACCCCCATGATGCTTGTGGAATAAATAAGATGTAGGTATGCACTTTAGTTTGAGTATCTTTTTTTTTTATAGCGCGTCAAGTGCTACCCACAATTTCTTCATCATGCAGCTCTTATAACAAAAACATAAAAATAAAAAAAACTTGTTAGTTAACAGGAATATTCAACTTAGAACATTATGTGCCAGTCCCTCGAGTTATGATGGAAGTTTGGTCTTGTTTGAAATTTTGAATGAAGACTAACTTGTCAAGAGCTTTCTTTAAGGGTGGTTAGGCGGCTATGATAGGATTGGATCATAATAAATCTAATAGGACCAAGTTTGTATGTGTAATTTAAACTTTTTATTAACTTTTAAAGTTGATGGTTGTTATCATTTTATTTATGGAGGTTTGGGGTTAGTGTGATGCAGTGGATATGATGGTGTAAGGAGATGTTGGTGAACACAGTGGAAGTGAATTAGAGTTTTGGAAGGTAGAGATCCAAAGGTAGCTAAAATCTGTTAAGTGATGGTGGGTTTTGAGCTAATTTTTTGGTGGCTGCTTCTGTGTGGAGCTTAAGAGAGCTTTATATGTTGAGATATGATGTGTGTAATTATCTTTTTGAAAGTTGGGGTTGTTCGAAATAAGGATATGGAGTCATTTAGGGTGATTAGAATGCCGTTTGGTTGAGTTTGGACAAATTTTGAGTGGTTTAAGTATTTTATTTGTAAGTTATTGTAGAAGTTCAGGAGCTTAGAGATAACCTTCAGATCATTCAAAGGGGAGCGTAGATGTGAAATGCAAAAAAAAAAAAAAGAAAAAAAGAAAGAAAAAAGAAAACACACACACACACAAATATATTCAAGGTCATTAACATAAGATTAAGTTGTTAGCTACTAAATTTTACTCAAGTAGAAAGGAAAGTGTTTTCGAAATAATTGCTATTTTACTTCATTGCCTTTTTTTCATAGATTCTATGGTATTTATAAGCTTAAGCTTTACACATAAGGAGAAGATAACACAATTAAATGATAGACAAATAATAGTAAATGCATCAATGTCATTATTTTTTATTTTATAACCCTCTGTTGTATCCATTGTATGAAGTTGCTGGAAGATGGAACAACTATTTAGAAGTCTTAAGAGACTATATTTGCTACGAGTTGGATTTTGATGATTTGGCAAGTGAAGTGTACGGATGATGTGATATTGTGGACCTCACTTAGGCGATGTTGCATTGTTTATCACTTAGATAATAATTCTAGCTCATTAATTTTTTTTTTTTTGTAACATTCTTACGTGAAATGTAACATCCAATGTTTACACATGAAATTAAATTTATTGGAATAACAAAAGAATTGATAATACGTGAAATATCAGAGTAGTCAAGTATTGGTCTGCAACAACTCCTCTTTGGGAATAGTTTTTGGTAGAATTAAATTTGGTGATATTGGAAAGAAATTTGAAAATACAAATGCAACAGGCAAACATGATATTGAAAAGAACTAGGAAAGCAAATAGTCATTGTGAATATAAATGAATCATTCTAACAATAAGATTCAAATGACAAGAATGAAAGCATGCAAACCTTAGATAACCATTTTATCTTTTCCAATTTAAATAAAAAATTCTAATATAATTGACCTAAAAATGTGCAAAATATGTCATCAAATCAAGGATTGACCTGATAGAAAAATTCATTGAAAAATAAGATTATTTTTTTAATAAAAAAATAAGCCTAGGGATGGGAATTTTAGAAAGAGAAAAACAAGAAAAGAACACATTCAAGTTTAAAAAACTAACAAAAAATTCTAATAGAAAAATGATTTACTAAACTCATTTCCAATGCATGGAAATAAACATTGTTTAATCTATAATACCAAAATGATGGAGGATGAAAAAAAATGATCCAAACAATTATTTTAGTGGCTGAGCCACGAAGTCCACTATAAGGAGGAGGCCCCTCAAATTCTACTATTACATGGCTTTGATACCAACTTATGCAATGAATATGGTGGTTATTGATGTGTAGCTTATTGGTGATTATTTTTTTTGGCGCGAGGGGATGTAGGGGAACCAATGGAAGTGTTTTGGGGTTTGAAAAGGTTTTGGAGGGTGCAATTCCAAAGATAGTTAAGCTCTAACAGGGGACAATGAGGTTTGGAATAAATTTTTGAAGTTCAATGCTATGTGGAGTTTACGAGGATATATGCTGAAATGTGGTTGGTGTAGTATTATTTTAAACTTTTCACCACTTTTTACCACTACGTTTATCAATAATATCAATCATTAATTAATTTGAGTTGTATGGGTGCTTTTTTTCCTTCTCAATTTTGAGTTACATGTGTATTAAAGTTTTTATTTTGAAATCAAATTAAATTAAATAGGAATCACTTTAGATTTAACATTTGTCATTAGTATTTTTCAACTCTTTTCATATTAAATCGACATGGAAGTCTTGTCTAATACTATTTCAATGATCACCGCAACTTTCTATCATTAAAGTGTTTTTTGATGTATTCTTGTTTATATATCTCTTTTTGTCTGTCAACTGAGGTTTGCTTTGTAATCCTGGACCCACGCAATAACATCTTGCTTATGAATAAAACCCTAGACAAGTTCACACTTTTGGTTTCAGCTGATGTGACTAAAATCAAATTTAGCGGTTAATTATATAAATATATGCCCTTAGTGATGTTTACGAAGCCTTTATTAGAGTTGAAGATCTTAGATCTTCGTAAATCATCTGGTGTACTATAAAAATATTTCTGATTAAACTGTATGTTTTGGTAAAAGGATTATGATATGAGTATCAGCCTTTATTTGATACAATCTCATCCGCATGTCAAAGATTTTATATCTGACAAACCCTTATGTTTGGATTGAGGAATTCATATCTATAGAAAGTATGTTTTATCTGAATAAATTGTCGGATACTTTATAAATCTTCTTACTGGAGCATACTGGATCAAAGATTATCTAACAAACAGTTATTGAAGTGATCAAAGTATCTTTGGCATTTCTTTTTGTAGCTTTAGTTATTTGCAAATGATATGGCTTCGTTTTAATTGTGAATCTATTTGGCGAGTGTAGTACTACTCTCGGTTTAATTTTGATCTGTAAATTAAGTAGATTGCATTGTTATCTTCATCTAACTCCCACTTTGATGAAATGAGTTTTATTGAATTCTTGTTTATGACGGATTTCATTTGGTCCCCAAATCCATCACATCAAGAATTATTTTTGGTGCCATACGCGGGAATGACAGACTTCATTTGGCACCCCAGCTCTGGCAGCATGGATTCAGTTTTCTAAAACTCGAGTGCTCAAAAGTTCTTCAGCATCACTTATAAATTGTTTTATTGACCTTTTCTCGATACCTTATGATGCTTAGTGTTTCTTTTCTCTGTCTCTGCCATCTCTGTAATGTACTTTTTTCTTTTCTATTTATGCAGGCTTTTGCTGAGGAACCACTTGCTGTAGCGTCAAAGGTTTCCAAGACTTCATCCAATTCTCATTCCATACATGCTAAGGTATCATTAATTACTGCCACCAATGAAAATGAGGGAGTTAGTGTTATCAGATCTGATGAGGTTACTGGAAAATCTAGTACAGATGGAATGGCATCCTCAGTTGCTGGCAAAAGTGGCAGCTTGTCTCGCGATGCTTTAGCGAAAGCTAAGAAAGCTTTGCAAATACAGAAACAATTGTCGGAAAAGCTGAAGAAGCTTCCTGTGGTAAATGATCTGTACGGTACTACAGTAATGAATTAATTTTGTAAGATGTTGGCATGCCTAATCTTTCTGCTGTTTTACTTCACAGCTAAATAAGCAGTCCAGTGCAGGTTATGTTGATAGTCTTCACGCAGAATCTTTGAAACCTTCAGGTGCTGCAAGTAGACATGGTGCTTCTTTTTCCTCGTCTGCTTCTACTTCAATGCCTATTCAGATGCCATCTGCTCCAAATGTTTCTGTTGGGTCTGCACCATCTGGGAATGCATTAAATGCAGGTCGTGAGGGTAACGCACCTCTCCTTGCAACTGCAGCTAGTTATGAGGCAGTGAAGCGTGCACAAGAGCTTGCTGCACGAATGGGATTTCGTCAGGATCCTGATTTTGCACCTCTCATAAATATGTTTCCTGGGTCAGCTGTGACTGATGCTGGACTGCTGCCAAAATCTACCAAAGTTCCAGTTCTGCGATTAGATGCCCAGGGGCGAGAAATAGATGAGCACGGCAATGTTATTAACAAACCCAAGGCGACAAATCTTAGCACATTGAAGGTATGTAGATATCAATTTATTTCATTTGTAATTCACGGTAATATTCTTTTTTAAAGAAACTTTACATTTGTTTTGTTAACCAGGTTAATATAAATAAGCAGAAGAAAGAGGCTTTTCAGATACTCAGACCAGAACTTGATGCTGTTCCAGAGCAGAATGCACATTTTGATACTGGTATAGGTATCAATAAAGAAAAGCTGTTGAGGCCTAAAAGGGCATCATTTCAGTTTGTGGAGGAGGGAAAATGGTCAAAGCAGGCAGAGGTTATGAAAATCAAGGTAATATCAGCATTGTGTCACTGCTTTTTGCCTAACTTCTAAACTTGTTTTAATGAATTTAATTTAGTGCCTATTCTGACAGAATCAATTTGGAGAAGCCCAAGCAAAGGAACTGAAGGTAAAGCAGTCACAGCTTGCAAAGGCAAAGGCTGAACCTGATGATAACCCAAATTTAATTGCAATTGGCGAGAGAACTTTCAAAGAGAAAAAGAAGGATGAAATTCCTGAATTAGAATGGTGGTAAGTGACCAATGCTTTTAACATTAGTGTTTTATTTTATTTTACTGTTTTTAAAAAGGCGTGTGCTGTGAAGCGTGTGGCTTGAATCTGTGCTCTTGAAGATACAAACCAGTGGGCCTCAAATACCTTCACATTAACATGATTTTGCTTTTATTGTCAAACAAATTATTATTGAAAGTTGTAAGTTTTTATCAGGGACAAATCATACTTACCTTCTGGTACCTATCAAGATATTTCTGAAGATAATTTGAACCTAGAGAAGATAACCATCTATGTCGAGCACCCTCGTCCAATCGAACCGCCAGCAGAGCCTGCTCCACCGCCGCCCCAGCCTTTGAAGTTAACCAAGAAAGAGCAGAAGAAACTCAGGACACAGAGAAGACTTGCCAAAGAAAGAGATAGGCAGGAGATGATAAGGCAAGGTCTGATTGAACCCCCAAAACCCAAAATAAAGATGAGCAACCTCATGAAAGTCCTTTCCTCTGAGGCTACCCAGGATCCAACCAAAATGGAAAAGGAAGTTAGAGCTGCTGCACTTGAGCGTGAGCAAGCTCATATGGATAGAAATATCGCCCGCAAGCTTACTCCACAAGAGCGCCGTGAGAAGAAAGAGAGAAAGCTCTTTGAGGATCCTTCCATGCTTGAGACTTTTGTTTCTGTCTACAGAATTGATGACCTTTCACATCCTCAAACACGCTTTAAGGTTGATGTGAATGCCCAGGAAAACCGCCTCACGGGATGTTTGGTGATATCTGATGGTCTGAGTGTCGTGGTTGTTGAAGGGGTCCGGAAATCCATTAAAAGGTATGGTAAGCTGATGCTGAAGCGAATTAACTGGGCAGCTGCTGTTGCAGATGATGAAAATGGAGATGAGGACAAGGCGGCTCGTCTTAATAAGTGTGTTCTTGTATGGCAGGGCAGCACGGCTAAGCCAAACTTTAATAGATTCCTTCTGCACCAGTGCAGAAGTGATGCTGCTGCCCGAAAAGTGTTTGCTGATGCTGGCGTTCCTCACTATTGGGATTTGGCTGTTAACTTCTCGGATGAATTATCCTGAAACTTCGAAGGGCGATTGTTAATTTTATGTTGGAAAGTTTTGATTAATGATTTAAGGTTTAAATATTACTTCTGCTGTGACAAGGTGCTCCTCTATATTAAGAACAATAACATGATTATGTAATCTGCAGTTGAGATGAAATTGTGGTTTTTGGTATCATTAGTTTAAAGCGTGGTGTTCTGAATGAGGCGGACCTTTCAGTATTGGGATGTGCTTGTAACCAACTGAAATTGCTTCTATTTTGCGTCAGCAAACTTTAAATGCAAATGATATTTGAGACTAGGATTAAGTTTTACTTCTAGGCTTTAGAGACTGATTAATGCTGTAAATGCTCTGATCTTGTTTTTGGTATTACTGATTCTTATGTGCCTTGATGGCTTCTTTTGTAAAAAAAATCTCTCTAGTTGTCATTTGTCATGCATGCTTTTGGAGTCTATAAAACCATCATATTAGTTCACATATTTTTTCAATATGGGTTTAAACGGTTTCAGAGAGGATTATTTCATCCCCTCATTTAGAGAGTACATGGACTAAATGAAGACTTTTATAGATTCTGAGATTAAAATGTCTCCCCTATAAAAGTCAAGGAATTAATTTGGCAATTTTTTTTTTAATCAATTTGCTTGTGCCTGTTCCACCATTTTTTTATTCAAATTATAATTTGATGCAATTTTCAAATTGGATAATGAATTAATTTTGATGTTGTTTTTCTGCGCTTGGAACATGTCCTGTCAAAAGTTTGTGCCATCGTAGTCAGGCCATGATCAACACTGTTAGGCTATAGAGCAATTCTCTCCTTCCGATTTTCATTTGATATATTTGGTAAAATTTGCTACTTGTTGCTTTCACTTTTCCAGTATATTGTCGATGTGATGCTGCAAACCTTCATAGAAATAAACAGGCCGAGTTATTAAATTTAACACAAACAGCCAAAAATAATCAGAAAAGATAACGTCGTACTAATATTATAACTAATCACATCTTAATTCAAATTTTAACTTGGATCACATTGAAATAGATAGGCTGAGTTATTAGCCAAAATTTTGGATCGATTCGAGCCAATTTCGAGCCATACATACATAGGCGCTCGAGAGGGGTTTGTAATAATTTTTATTTATAAAAATTATATTTAGAATAATAAATAAATTTGAATGTAACAAGAGGTGCTAATTTTAAGCCTAATTCAAGCTAGAACTGATACAAATAACTCAATTTGAGCTGGTTAGTTTCAATTTTGAGCCATATCAAGCTATTTTGAACTAAAGTAAATCCAAATAATTCAAATTGAGCCAGCTGTTTTTGATTTTGAGCTGGGTCGAGCTTGATGCAATTTTGAACTGGCTTGGCTCGAAATCGAAAACAATGAGCCACGAGCCGATTTCAACCTGCACTAAATCTATTTGAGTCGGTACCAACTCAACTCTAAATTGGGTCGTTAATGTTCATAATCAATTCCGCACGAGTAATAATACAGGACAAAAACTCCAACCTACCTTCAAACCCTACTTTCAAAATCTGAATTGAAAAATATATATATTTTTTAAATATTTGAAGCTTAGATTTCTCTCAACTCCTCTCAAAATCAGTTCCACATGTAGTAATAATACAGGAGCGGGTGGCTATCGATGGTCGTTGTGATGGCCTATAAGCGGTGGTTGGTGGTTGGTGATTGGCGGTTGCAGGAGTTGGAAGTATTTGTTGCATCAACAGTGCCGAATATTATAAGTATATCCACCTACGTTTAAAATTATATATGCTAGGTCATATGTGAGGCCGCCTCTTTCAAAATTTCATCCCTCGCCGTGACGTGCTTTAGATCTCTTAGATCTTTAGGATGGGGCCGGCGTGGTGACCTCATCAAATTCATACGATAGCTAGAGACATTACCCTGCGCGATTAGGTACTAGGTTGGACACTTTTCGTTAGATGGTGTTCTGAGCTGGAATTTAGGGTGCTAGGTAGCCTTTTTTTATGCCTGACTATTGTTCTTTACTGTATTGGTTGTGCTAGCTAGACATCATTCATTTTGTGTTTTTGGTGTGCTTGCATGCTTGATATGAATGGAAGTGTGTTAGGGCGCTTTGCTGCACGGAGTCGTGTCTAATTATATGCACACACTCACAAGTACCGTTACGGGGAAGCCTTGCAGGTGCTATTCAGCTCGTCCAATTATAAGGCACTTCTCCTTATTCGTTGAGCGTTGGCTTTCCCGGTAACATTTATTTTCATGCTGGTTGAGTCTTTTTCACTTTTCCTCTATACTTTTTAGAGTCTATGAAAGTTATGTAGCAGAAATAAAATATGGGCATGGGTTTCGAGGCGTTTAGCTTGGGAACCACCTGGAGAGGACTGCACACAGATACTTGTGTCCCGAATCTTAATTATGCTTTTGATATTCATGTATAAAATTAGGATCAGACATGTATATGCGGAGTTCAACAATCTTTTTCTTTTCTGGGATAAGTTGTTGACCCAACAGTACCGATCTTTCTTATTTATTTGATTTGACTTGTTATTCTGCCTTATTGCATGTTATTCTCTTTATTTATTTATGTGGTTTGTTTGGAAATTACGATGCAATACAGGCTCATTTGGTCTTAAAATCATGATCTTTCTATAAAATCCTAATAAAAATATATAAGATAAAGGAATTTTTAGGATTAAAATATTCGGGACTTTAAAACTTGGACTTATATTTTTCTGCATGGCTTTTGGGCCAGATTTTAAACAGGCTGCATTGCATGGTAATATACTCAGTCATAATTAATAGGGCCTACACAATATTTAAGGACTGCTTTAGATAAGTGCATTCATATTTGCATGTCCCAATGAGATGTCCCCGTGCTTCTCCAATCTAATTGACATAATATATCTATATATATATAGGTGATTGTCTAATGCTCCTAGAGTGTTATAAGGCTCTTCAACCCAGAAGGGGTGTAATTCCTTTTGTTTGAAAGATTTCTAGTTTTGTAGCTGAAGCTCCCTCTTTTTTTCTTTCTTGATGCATCCTTGTCATTTCAGTTGGTATAAGTCTCACCTCTTGGAGCTTCGGCCATGGGATAAAGTTTCTTTCCTTTGAACTTAGAGCTATCGAGGTCCCCGTAGATAACGCAATTCACAGATTGCTGATCGGGGATCTTTGGACGTGTTGGGTCGACTAACTTCAAGATTGGGTAGACTTAGGCTTCTAGTAGCTGTGTATGATGGATCCGTAGAACCCTGACCTAACTACCTCTACTTTTTAAGACTACTCTAACTTTTTGTTGTTGAGCCATTTTGAGCCCTGTCGCTCCTTTGATTTCATCGATATCATCTTGATGGCATGATGCTGATAAGCTGCCGCTCATTTGGGATACGATAATGTGTCCTCTGCCCTTATGACCTAGACGTGCATTGACATGTTAAGATATCCCGGTTAAGATGATTTAGGTTATTCCGTAGGGTTTGTATGTTGATGAGTCGTTACCTATTTGAGATGTGAGAAACTCACCCTCTGTCCGATGGCTTAGCATGAGCTTTGAAGCGTCAAGACTTTCCCACACTAAATAACCTACCTTCGATAGCCTATACCCCAAGTCTATGATAATATTAAGAGAAACCCCTTTTATCGAGAGTATTCTTGGGTATCCCTCAAGATGTAATTAACTAGTAGAAATACGTTCCTCTGTGAGTGCTTTTGACCCCATAACATGTGCATGCACATGACTCTCTGTTATGAGTAGTATGCGTAGATATTTTTTGCAGATATTGGTCTAAGGTGCCTTCGCCCCATCTTGTTTGGATGGACATAATTAGTCTATTCTTGTGAGGTTTATCGCGCGTAGACTCTCCACATTTTTCTTTTATCCTGTTTGTCGTCATTGTCATATGTCCCTTCTTATTCGGTTTCTTTCCTCTCCGAATCACTTATATGATTCAAGAGAGAGATTTATTTGAATAAAACAAGTATACGACGATCAACAATCTAACAACCTTTTTTAAAATAAAAAAAGAGAAAAAGGAACAGAAAGAATACCCATGAATCTATCCATTGAAGAAATGTTCTTCATAAAATTTTCTCTCTTTTATGACTATGCACCTCCGCTTTCTCGGCAAAACTATTCCAATGACCGTTTCTTAGCGCCATCAAATGAGTAAACTACATATATTGGAACAGGTTCGGGCTTCGATCGTTTTTCTCTCTTCACACTTTTCTTTCTCTTTACAGGGGCTGGGACCTGGAAGCCCGCTTTTGCTAGAGTTTTGGGATCCACGTGGACCCGATTTGTAGCATCAACCATGATGTACCTCAGCTATATGGAAAAACTAGCGATAAAAGATGCAACAACATGTTTATGACTTTAATTATGGAGCACACTAAGCACGAAACCTAAAGGAAGCCAATTGTTCAATCAATTCTTAATTTTGATGTCATTGATTTTTTAATAATTCATCTAATCTTATCGTAGCTTTCACTATAAAAGAGCAGGAAAACTCGGGGAACTAATATGTACGCATCAGTATTGTCGGCACAAATCTCAAAACAATCAAACATCAAAGAACGACGACTCAACGATCGAGACATTAAACTCAAGAGGCATGATTTGAGTTGATCATTCAAAAGATCAACAAACTAATCAAGTCCACCACGAGCGAAGCCGGTCGACGGGCGTATCTATGGTACCAACTACCGAAGCTCTCTAAAAACTGCCCGAACGCAGCTGACCGACCGATCACTTATACCTCGGTAAAAACGACCACCACGACGACGCCCATCGCTTTGTTGGCCAAACTTAAACATGCTGATCGACTAATTACCGCCATATTCAAGTTGAAATTGTAATACAAATATTATATTAAATCGACATATTGATTGCATTAAGGGCTTCTTTTGACTTAGACATGGATTTTATAATCGCTCTGTCCTTTTGGTAGTTGAGGGCGATTTTCATAATCGCTCTGTCCTTTATGTAATTGTACCAAAAGACCTCATATAAATAAAATGCTTGACGATTAATAAAGGAACTCCTGTCTGAGGACCTTTTTTCCGATCTATCTACTGAGAATTTTTAGACGCTTGATTCTCTCTATCTTTCTCGGCTCTAACCATTGAGGTGTGTATCTTTGAAAGACAATGCATGATAAGTTTAATAATAATAAACTATTGAGGTCTGTATATCTGAAAGTCAATTCAAGATTCAACATTAATAATAGTAATCCTCAAAATAATCATATTATAACTTATTAATGAAGTAAATAATATTTTAAGTAATTCTATATTCATTTATACGACATTTAAGAATAAAATAAAATACATTTATTAAATAATAATTTGTTTTATTTTTTTAACGTTTATTCGTGCAGCATACCCACCAATAAACTCGCGGCTTCGGCACCGATATAAAATTTTCTCCTCCCTTCCGGCAGAAACCCTATTACCTGTCTGAGCGCTCGGCGAGCCTCCTTTAAATACAACAACTACTTGCGGCTATAGTTGGTAAGAGAAGATCGAGCATGGAGACAGCGAAGGTCGGTCGAACTGTAAAGGATGTGTCGCCACACGAATTTTGTCAAGGCGTACTCAGCCCATTACTCAGCCCATTTGAAACGATCTGGCAAGGTTAATTTTTTCTCCGAATTTTTTTTTATTCAAAATGCTGATTCTAATATCGGAGTTGTATGAATGTATATATTCTTTCGTTCAAGCTAGTTTCTTTAATAATTAAGAATTTTTTTTTTCATTTATCTGTGTCAGCATCCTATATTTCTTTTGTAATTGATTGGGATGATTGAAGTTTTGCTTTGATTTCAATAGTTATTGTGTCCCAATAGATTAGTTGCTCATGATTGGCTGTATGTTTGTCCCTCTTGCTTTTCTCATGGTTTTTGTTTGATGAAATATGATAATTCATTTTTATGCAAGATATACTTTTAAATTATTCACGGAGTCTTAGAGCAGAGAACATAAATCTGAGTAATTTCTTTGATTCTACAATCGAACCAATAGTTATGGATGTTACTTAAAAACATGTTACTTAAAAACTTTTCTCAAAAACTTTTCTCCATTAGAAGTGTTCCGTCTTTAGAAGAATAGCTTTGTTTTCTTCTACAAGTATTACCTTTGCTTGGTGATTTTTTGGTCTTATGCGAGAAACTTTGCTGGTTTAATTGATTTTTGAATTATTTTCTTAGTTATTCCAAAGATTTGTTGATTTGATCCTATAGAAGATAACTCTGCTTCTAGATTTTGGTGATTTTATTTTAAAAGATTTAGGGAAACTGATAATATTACTTTTAACTCTGCTATTGATCATTGATACAGTTAAATGCCATGTTTTTTATGTTCTCTTCAGTTTGTCTCATTAAACTAATGAGCTTGGTTATTATTTATATATTGTTCTTATAAGAAATTTTAGAAGCTATGCATACATATAGTTAGGTCTAGGCTTGTTTTATTTAATGAATGCATAGTTTTGTATGTTTTGCTTTTCTTCCCTTACTTTTCGCGTAGATTTTGTTTTTTAGTTTATAGCTTTTTGGGGTTAGGTGGAGCTTTTGATTGGGCTCTTTTCTTTATCAATTGTGATCTATTTTATTTATTGTTCTATAATTTGTATGTATGGATATTTCTTTTGCGTGCCTCTTGATTTTTTTTTTGTTTAATCAGATGAACTAGTTCATTTTGATGCAAGATTTATCTGTAAACTAAAGAGTCTTGAACTGAGAATGTGTATTTTATTAATTGTTCGATTCTGCAAACACCCTATTTGCGAAAGACTAAGTTCAATCCGAACATACTTTTCCATATTTGGAAAAATTATGGAATAAAGTTTCAATTTTTGCCTTCTCTTTTGGATTTTGATTCCTTTTTATATCATGTAGCTTCACCACTACTGGAAACAACTGCAAGTAGCTTGTAGGGCTATAATCATTGTTTATGAACTTTTATGAACTTGAACTTGGGGAACTTGGGTGATCTGTCCACGACTAGAATGAATCTTATGTTAGACTAAGTGGAGGTTCGAATGTACTAAAGCCGAAGAATCTATGGGTAAGTTGATTGAAGGATCCTCTACAACAAACTATCAACATTTTTTTTTCTAGTTCTCCTTGTTTTTGAATTGCTAGCAACATGTGACTTGGTAGCATTAAGCTTTCAGCTTGCCACTGTCTGTAACTTGCAATAAATGTTTAAGCATTAAGAGATAACTTATAGTTACAGTGCTTGTCTAGTTATTGCTTAGAAATTTATTCTGGTTTGAATATTAGACTTTAAGGAGGTTCAGCCACAAATGTCCTCATTGTAATTATAAATTTAACTCACCTGCCTTCCTTTTTTTTGTGGCAGCTGCTGATTTTCAGGGATGAATGTACTAGTTTTTTGCTTCCATTTGAATGGGTGGATGAGGGTCATGCATAAAAATTGCTTTGAATGTGTGTATGCTAGAAATAGTTCTTGTATATTTTGGTTACTAGCTTCATTTTTTGTAGATCTGAAATTATCACCATGTTATTTTATTCTTATTTTTTTCTTTATGCTACATGTTTATATTAAAAGTTTTGGTAAGATAGTATGATGCACGCGCTTTTGCAAAGTGTTATTTATGATTGTTTAATTGCAATGTTTAACAAGAATACCATTTAACAAGAATATCATATATCAAAAATATAATTTATCCTTCATGCAGATAATTATTGGTGAGGATACTATGATTGTGGCTAGTGCTTAGCTTCTCATATTGGATTAGAAGATATTTTGTGGAAGAGATGGATGAGCAACTTCTTTGTATAGTTGAAAAAGAAAGGATATTTATGGGAGGTGATTTAAATTGGCATAAAGGTTAAATAAAATGCATTATGAGAATATTTATGGTAGTAATGTGTTAAGATAGAGAAATATAATGGGAGATGATATACTTTTGATACTGCATTAGCCTACAATCTTTCAACATAAATACATAACTTAAGTGAACTTTTAGTTATTTGCAAAACGGTAAATATCCTATTACAAATAGAACATTATGCACTTTAAGGAAATAAAAGTCTTCTTAAAATGATTATAAAGTAATTTTGGGAGGGTTTTACCATTTAACATAGAGAATTAGTTATGCATGTATTCTTAGGAGTATGAAACAAACATTCAAAAGAAATTATTTTTTGAGGATATGAATTTAGAAAGTGACAAGTGTGGGAAAATTAAACCAGAAATCTTGAAGATATCTATGACTGTTATTTATTAAAGAATGAAATGAGACTTTCAATTTAACTATTGGAGTCAAGTATCCCGTTTACATTTGCTATGAAATGAATTTAACAAACGCGTTGTTTTTTAATATAATGTTTTTATAATAGTATACAATGTTAATATGAAACACATGATGAAATTTTAATGTGTACTTTTATGCTTAAAAAGTATGATTTAACAAATCCTTGAGAAGTGGCGTTTATCCTCATAAGTTGGATGACCCCTATTGTGCATGTGTGCGAAGAGACTATTCATGTGCAGGAAAAGTGTATGAAGATAAGGAGAAGATACAATATCAATTCATATGAAGAGTTACCCTAGAGTTTATTTTATTTCTTATGATCTTTTCTTTGCATGTATGTATAAAAATTTTATTCCTAGAACCTTTTTGCATATAAACTTCCAGGCCACACTTATAGATAAGCAAGTGAAGAAATTTTGGAAGAAGTATGCTAGTTTAGTGCGCATATAAAGCAAACACATTAGACAGGTAATAATCTATCACAAAAATATTAGAAGTCCAAATGTGGTTGGCCCACAATAAAATATAACCCTACAAAACTAAAATAGTAAGATGGCAATTGAGCATTTGCCTCATACTTTCCAGCTTAACTTAGTGATTTTAACTCAATCTATCATCAAGCTTTATTTTAAAATATTTTTTTGCTCCAAAGCCTATACCTTATGGCTCATCCTTGTTTGCTTTCTTCTTTGTAATCTCACAAGCTTTTACATGTGCATCCTATTTTTAAAAATTACTTTTTTATACAAAAAATTACAACCGTGTTTCTACAACATAGTGGTTAACAAATCTATTATATTCAATGAAAACATTTTGTAGTATTAAGCACACAGGTTCCAAGCTATCCACCGTATTAGTGATGCTTAAGGATTTGACAAATTTAAGCAAGCATCTGTAAGCAAACTAGGTATTTTTAAATGACTTAATATTTAATTAAGTCCCTCTAAGCCTGAACATATGCGGAACAAGAGTTCGAGTAATTTATTATAGGCATTCATTTTCACAAATTTCACATCACATTTCAACAAAAGATAGCATCACAACATCACAACATCACACCATCACAACACAACATCACATCACAACACCACATTACATGACAACGCATAACAGCACAACACAAAAATCTTCCAAATAATGATCAAACCTAACAAATCTAACTTAGAAATTCTTAGGCTTGTGTAATATCTAGCATCTAGTGTGTATTAGGCCTTGAGGGTTTGTGCTTATTAATTTTTTTGTTGTTTTAATATTCTAAATTGCCTTGAAATTTAATTTTGTTCAGGGATGGTTTCCATTTAAGTGATTAATGATGTTAAGAATTTTATTTGAGTTCTTGTTTTTGTTATTTTATTTGATCTAAGGTTTCAAGAATAATCAAAGATACAACAAGCTCATCGTATAAATGAACTTTGCTATCCAAGGAATCCTAAGCATAATAAAGTGTACACTTTACTCAAGGAGTATAGTAACACCCCATAATACCTTCAAAACAACATTGGAAGGTTTTATGAATTTCTTTATTTTGGTTTTTTTATTATTTCTACTTATATTACTTTAGAAAAAGTAGTAAAAAAATATCTAAAAAATATAAGAAAAATTTTAGAGATTGAGAGCAATCAAAGAATAATCCAATAGAAAATTAAGATTATTTTGATATTATTGATATTATTGATATTATTTATATATTTTAGATATTTTTTATTTATAAAAACATTAAAAAATATAAATAGTTTCTCCTAAAGTCATGGGAAAATTTCTAGAAACTGAGTATAACAAAGAACAAGCCCCATAAAATTTGAGATTATTTTAAATTAATTTGTAATTTTAATATATTTTAAGTGTTTAAATGTTTAGGTTTTGTTTAAATGTTTAGGCTTTCCTTTTCAACCAAATTAACTCCAAATTCAATGAAATTTTCTCTGATATTTAGGGTGGTCTCTTTAGAGGTCAATTGATGTTTTTTATATTTTTAAAGATTTATTTGAATTGTTTAATTCTAGAAATTTAAATATTTAATTTCTTGTTTCTAATTTATTTTTCTATAATTCTAGTGTTTTCTAGTGAAAATTAGTTTTATAGTTTTAAGATGATCTTGGATAATTAATGAAATTAATTAAACTTAAGATATGGTTTTGTAATATTTGGACCAAATAAATACAGATAACAAAAAAAGTTTTAGCCATAGACTCTTTTAAGCCCAAAAATACTCACTGCAATTTTTACAATTTTTTTTATAAATTTTAGGGATTATTTCTATTTCTTTTCATTATGTATTTTATATTTACTTAATGGGGTTAAGTGACTTATTTTGTTTTTATTTAGGTTTTCATTGACTTAAAAGGTTCGTGAA